ATTTCAACTAATGGTTCTTTTGTTTGGATTCCGAATATTCTAGTTTGATTTTTTTTGTTGAAATAATCAACTAGTTTGATTCAATATATGTTATATATCGTGTTGTTACATGTCTAACTTTGTCATATTACACATCTAATATTATCATGTTAGTGTATAATCTAAAATTATGTGTAATATTATGATATGATTGTGTAATTTATTGAAATTATGTATTGAGGGTTACTATAGTTTTGTACAAACAGTTCTTTATAACCGAAATGTTATGGATATACTTTTGTAAATCATAATCCATGTTAAGTTTTAATCACTTTGTAAAAATGTCGTATTTTTATTCAAGTTTGTTTTTTGTTGTTAGAAATAATCAACTACTATTATGATACTAAGTTTTTTTTAATGTTATAATTTTAATTTTAAGATAAGTATTCTATAAACGCTATTTTTACATGTATAATACCCTGTAACACTAATGTTTATTAGTGACAAGATTTGTAAGTTAGAATATCATTCTATTATTCTATATTCAGAATAAATAACATTTTTATATATCACTATTAATTAATATAATTCAAATATGCCAACGTATTTAACTAGAATATTACTCTATTAGAATATTTTACATATAACTTATTTTGGTTTTCTATAGATTATTGCATATATTCTTGTAATACTATAAATTGTAAATTCAAAATATAACATAATGATATCATAATATTACATATAATATTAGAATCTTACATATTGTAAGTTAATTGTATATATTACAACACAAGTTCATAATATTACATATTAACAACACAATATTAATTATTGAATGGTTAGAATATCTAGAATAATATCATACCAATGAGTATTAAAAAAACCTAAATTTAATTATGCATCACTATATTAGAATATTCTACTTATAACTTAGAAAATAATAGACCATTATTCTATTGAAATATTCTACATATAGATTATGAAAACATACAACATATAACATTATTCTATTAGAATAAAATATACTACATATAGATTATAAAACCATACAACATATAACATTATTCTATTAGAATATTCTATATGTACAAATTGTTTTCATGTAATAAATCAACTTATTCAATCGAAAACCTACAACATTATTCGAAAATATACAACATACAACATTATTGTATTAGAATATTCTATATATACACAATATTTTCATGTAAATGAATTAACTTATTTAACAAAAAAACATAGAATATTATGTTATTATATTATCAACATCATACATCATAAACTGCAACATTCTAATGATTTTAAACATCATACACTCTACTTATAAAATTTAGCTGGATTTATCACGTAAATTCTAAACAAGACAGAAAAATCAATTTATGATAACAAACAACACATAACATTATTCTATTAGAGTATTATACATATACTTACTATAACAGAAAACATAAATTATTATTCTAATAGAATATTATATGTACAATCTTTAATTTTAAATTCATCTTAGATGTGAAAGACATTACTATCATTACATGAAATAAACTATAACACTACATGTATTATTCTTTAACATATAACTATTGTCCAAACATAATATTGTTTTATTAAACTTTCACCAATCTTCAAACCTTCAAACCATAATTATTGTTTCAAACATTAAACCATACATATTGTTCAAAATATAGAAAATATAGCCAACATTCAAAGAGAATAATACTCTTAATAACGATTAAACTCTTGCAAATATTTTATCATGTCGATCAACAATCCTCATTCCATTGCATCCTTTCTTGCACCATATTAAGATCCTTTGCTCAATCATATTTTCCAAACTGCATAGATTGTTCAATTAGTGCATATGTAGGTTAGCATTTAGTTTGCCTGCATCATGAAAAGTAAAATCAATATAATGAAATATTTATCAGAACAAAATATCCAGAATATACAAACTACATTCAATTAATAACATACATAAAAAATTTGTAACATTATAAGAATAATTAAAAATAGACTTTTATTCTAAATTTTTTAGCACAAAAATAATAACTTAAAAATTCTAATGAGATCATAAACAACTAGTGTGCATATTAGAACACTTTTGTTGATTTTGAGTTTTCATAATAACTCAAAATCTATAATCATGACAATTTTGAGTTACTTATAGAGTTAACATCTAGATGTAAATATCCTAATGGTTTCACATATTCTATACAAATCAAGGTTTAAATGACAGGTTGTATAATACGATATTCCATTACATCGTGACTTTTAGAGATAATTTTACAGTAAAATATCTCAATTAGAATACATTGTTGAAGATACACAATGATTTTGACTAAAAACTATACTATAGTCAGAATATAGAGTTTTATTGAATATTCCATACATGAATATATTAACGCAAAATCATACAGAAAAAATAAATTTGACGATTACAACACTTAAACTCAAAATCACATGCTAAGATAAAATTGTGAATAGATTATAGTATTATACGTTACCTATAACAACTCTAGATGTAAAATTTGAATTCGATTGTGTAGAATAAGCCATTTGCTGGAATAACAAGCTTCATTTTCTTTAATTTACGAATGGTTGGTGATCTAAAACTTGATCTGATTTTCGAATCAGAATCACAAACTTGAAAACCCAAATGAGAAGGAATCATAAATTATGTTAAATCAGAATGCCTAAAATATTTATGTATTAAACCTTATTTTAATGTATGTGTACTACATTATCTAATTAATCAAAAGAATAACATTAGAACTTAATATTTACTAATCATAATACTTAGAATATTACATACTTTAAATCAGAATATGACATATAATTTTAGAATATATGGCACTGATTCATTATTTTGACTAAAAACTATACTATAATCAGAACACATAGTTTTATAGAATATTTATAGGTGTATACATTAAATCAAAATCATACAAAGAGATAAATTTGACGATTATAACACATTAACTCAAAATCATATGCTAAGATACAACAGTGAAGAGATAACTCTAAATATAGAATCTGAATCTAATTATGTAGAATAAGCCATTTGCTAGAATAATTAGCTTCAGTTCTTTTATTTAGGAATGATTGATGACCCAAAATTTTATATGGTTTCACAATCAGAATCATAAAGTTGAAAAATTGCAAGGAATAAGAAATTGTGTTAAATCATAATGCCTATATATTTATGTATTAAACCTTATTTCAATGTACGTGTACTTCATTATCTAATTGATCAAAAGAATAATGTTAGAACTCAAAACTAATCATAATACTTAGAATATTACATATTTTAAATATGAATATGACACATAAATTTAGAATATATGGTATTGCTTCATCATTAACCAATTACTATTACAATACTTCACAAAAAGGTTCAAAGCAAAGTTGTTTCCAATAAAACAAAAATGTATAAGATCAGATACTACACATCATTTAACAAAAAGCATACAAACAAATTGTTTCCAACACAATCATAATGTTTAAACTGTAATGTAACACATAATTTCAAAATATTTCATATTATCACATAGTGAAAGTTTTAAAGAAAGTAGTTTCTAACAAAAGAACATCCAAAATCTAAACGAAGGAGGGTCTGACTTATCAAATCATAATATGTATAATATCAAGTTATCTAGCACAAAATTATTTAACTTTCACTAGACCATCAAATTAATCAAACAAAATAACACCTAAAATCAAATTAAATTTAAAATACATGCAATTATGATTCTGTTGAACCATTGATAACCTATGATAAATGTGTGATTTCTAGTGTTTTTCACTGTTAAACCTCGAATAAGAGGCTATGGTTTTTCATCAGATTCTCTAATTAATCAATCAAAATAACACCTTAAATCAAATTATATTTTAAAATACCTGCAATCTGAATATGATTTAGTTGAACCATCGATAATTTGTTATGAATGTGCGATTGCTAATGTTTTTCGCAACTAAAACTCGAATAAGAGGCTAGGGTTTTTCAATCCTATGGTTTTGTCGATGCCAGGGTTTTCTGAGTACAGATCCATTCGTTTTCTTGATGATGAGTGCGATTATTAGGGAATTTTGTTGAAAAACTATGGATTAAAGATAGATGAATGATTTTGATCGAGAATAATTTGAAAGGGGGAGAAGGATATTAACGAACTCAAAGAAATTGGGGAGAAGAATGAAGTGAACGGTGAAGTGATCAGATCCAATCTATTGAGTGAAAAGTACAACTCTACCCCACTGTGTATTTCAATTAAGCATGGACTTCAAGATAATTTCAATTTTGCCACCACCTCCCATCGGAATTTCTGTTTTAATCTCAACCCTCTTTTTTTCTTAATCAATGGTCATCAATTGGTCCCATTGTCTCACAAAATCATCTTGTCTCAAATGAACTCAACCCTATATATATATATATATATATATATATATATATATATATATATATATATATATAATCCGTTTGTTTCTCTCAATGGATGTACACTATCTCCTCGATGGTGAAACCGCGTTAACTACTTGTTTTCCGAAAGTTATTAGCTTGTCACTTACATTTGTTTAATCTTACTATGTGTTGCCCTCATTATCGGTCATCTTGTTGTGTTTGTACATCCTACTTTGTTATATGTAACCTGTTAGTGGGGTGTTACACTTATTTATGAGGCCAAATGTTTGATATCTCTTCGGGATATTTTTTTATTGTTAATTGTTTGGATATATGCCTTAGCATCTTTCAAAGGTCATATCAGGGGCGGATTTAGGGTGGGTTTAGGGTGGGTCACTAGTGGACCGGCAACCTTTGATTTTTTCGGACGTAGTGGAAAAATTTTCGAAGTTTTTTTTTCTATTATCTTGCAACCCCTGACTTTCTCATGACACCCCTGTTGTGAAATCTTGTGTCCGCCCCTAGGCCATATACATGCCAAATTCTTTTAAAAATGATCGTTTGCATGAATTCCATGGATTAATAAGAATTTAGAAAAATATTAATATTTTTGTTAAAGTTGATTTTTGATAAAAACTAGATGGAATCATGCGCGGCCGTTGGCGCTGATTCAATTTTTTTTTTCGTTCTTTCAACGTGTATATGTACATAATCCATCTCGTGAAGCCTTAGCTGCTACATAAGCAAACCTGACATCTAGAAGCCAGCCAATTTCATTTTTTGTCGTTGCAAAAATAATCCTCTGGTAGAAAAAAAGTCTGTTGGAGTCTTAGCTTCTATATAAGCAAACCACACATCTGGGAACAATCAAATTCCATTTTTTGGCATTCCAAGAAAACCTGTCTGGTAGAAAAGAAAAAAAGTCATAAATGTATGATTTTGAGTTTTTATTTAAATATTTAATGCTAAAGTGTTGAGTTTTTATTTAAATGTTGAGTTTATTTAAATATTTAATGCTAAAATGTGGAGTTTTTATTTATGATTTTGTAGTGGGTATGATCAGATACAACAATCCAAAATTCCATTGTTATGCTATCCATGAAGCTTATATATGGCTTCTTATATCCAAGATTTTGCAAATAAGAAAGTACACCACCATCTGGCCCTACAAATGAATTAAACAAAAAGATTTTATTTTTTTAATAAATTATAGCCCATGAAATCTGTTAATAATTAAAAAAAAAAAACAAAAAAATGTTTAAAACCTAGGCCTGACTAAGTCCAAACTCAAGAAGAAGTTTATTTTTTTCCAGCAACAAAACAATGGCCTGACTAAGTCCAAACTCAAGAAGAAGTTTATTTTTTTCCAGCAACAAAACAATGGCTTGCAGCATCTGTAGTGAGTAAAGAAGCAAAATTTATAAGATTCACAAAAGGGGTTTCCAAAAGTTGAACCACCAGAAAAAGCAACAATACAATACAAATAAAATTTTCAAAGATTCGATCTTTTTGTCTAAATGTTTCGAAAAATACCCTTCAACCCAGAAAATAAAACTTACAGCGACAGGGTCTTCAATAATCATCAAGGGTATACGGACCTGCATTACTAACGCAAATAATCGGTGCAGAAAGGAAAAAATGTATAACAAATAGCATTCAAAAGTGCATCAATATATGGAAGCAAGCATGTATATATATAAAAAAATAAAAAAATAAATAAATAATTAAATAAATAAAAAACTATTCAAAATCCCACGTTTTCATCATACTCTCAACAATCGATTGACATCAACTCCATTAAATTGAAAGAAAATCATAGACAAATCAATAAATTAATTACCTTAGGTTATAAGGAAATTCGTCAACGGTTACCTTGATTTCTTTGCCAGGTCGGTGATAATAAGCATCTAAGTCGAGACACCCCAGTCAACTGAAATATCAAGTGGGTTGCACTCCTAATCAACCAAAGAATCTCGTACTCAATCAATATACTAATCAATATACTGAAATCGAAACCTATATATAAGCAATATATAAGCAAGTAGAGCATCAATAAAATCAAACTCAAAATTTTATCCTCATGGATGAAAGCTCGCCTCTCAGGCTGTCAGAACATAAAGCAGCACACATCTACTTATCGGGATAACATGAAGGGATACTCACAACCACCAATTGAAAGCATGGAATCAAAAACCCACAACTACCAATAGAAACTATCGATTCAGAATGAAACACGTATCTTGAAGAGAACACAGGAAGAAGGCAGTTGATGCTTGAAGAGGAATAGAAGTGCAGGGGGCGTCATAGTCAACAATTCGATGGTTCCTGAAGTAGAAGATGGATCTTACATGAAGTTGCCGTTTCTATCGATGAAGTCACCTGGCTGAATGAAAGTGAACCAGATAATCTCTTTCTGACCATTTTACCCTTCAAATTCTCTCAGTGGAACCCTTAAAGAAAACTCAAGACACTCCAAAATGAGGAACATATATGGTCACATATTTGCTTCTTGTCACCATTGTTTTCTTGGCACTTGACCTCGGTGAAAGCCTCCATCCTCATCATTGTAAGGGCACAACCGTCATTTACTTTCTTTGTGTTATTAAATGTTAAGAAAAGAAACTTTGTTATTTGCAATTCCATTTTACTTCAGTTTACATGGATGTTAATTTTTTGACTTAATAGGTAAAAACTCAAAAACAAACCTGATTGTACTTGGCTGAGCGCTCTCTTACTGGTGGCAAGACCCACTGATAAATCAGCTAAAAAAAGAATCATCAGCTTCTCCACTTCTTTGTGATATTACCACACCCCAATTGTCATCCTTTTCCATCTTCACTACTTTAATGGCTTCTGTCATACTTCCAACTTGGTTCACCTACAAAATATTCTCAACATTCATTTTCGTATACAGCAGTTTCCCATTTTTTCCTTTTTGAGTTGTGGTTTTATTTTTTAGATATTCTACTAATACTTAAACAGGGTACCTTGAGAAGAACAGCATTGCAAGCATGTTCTTCGATGGCTCTTTCTACATTTTTGGGATTTGACATCAACAACTCATCACCAAAAACCTGTGCATATAATTATAAATCATGTATAAAATAATCATGTTACAATAACCTCAAATAAGGACCAAATTACCCCCCGTATTCCGATCATAAACAAACCTGGATGTGTTGGAATTTTAGAATTCGTCCGTTCGAATTTATAAAAAGAGGAATCATAATCGAAATACACAACGAAAATAGGGCAAAAAGATAATTTTGGGTTTTTTTTTACCGTGAATCGTGATAACGGGAGGCATCACCGATGGTAGCAGAAAAAGACAATTATTACACCCATACCCTTCCCTGTTCCTGAAGGTGTATTCCTGAATCTGAATAAAAAGCAACACAAAAAATGAGCTAATTAAGAGGATAAAGGTGGTGGAAAGCCGAAAACAACGGGAATGGAGAAAGTGGAAGGAGGTGTCGATAGAGATAAGGGGTGTGATACTCATCTACAAAGACCAAACGAAAAGGATTATTCAAGAAGGGTCATAGACACCAACAAATTCTTATTGGCTTACATAGTCGGTGAAGGGAGGTTGAAGCGATCAGCTTCCTTCATCGTTTATGATGTTCGCTGGCTATCCAGACAAATAAGAAGGGTGGAGACGGTGGTCTGGAGTTGGTTGAGCCAGAAGCCGGTGAGGCAAACAAAAGGAATCATAAATCTACGTGAAGCCATCAAAGGAAGAAAATGGTGGGTCGAAGATAAAATGATGAATAGAAGAACAGAAGCAAATTGAGATAAGAAGAAAGATGGGAAGTGAAAGGCGGTGGAGTGAAGTCTGTGGCCAAAGTAGGAAGGGAAAGAAAAAAAGGGGCACAAATGAGAAAACCAAAAGTTTCCTTGTTCACCACCATTTTAGCAAACAATAGTATATATAATAAATAAAACTACTTAATTTATTTAGGTGAGAAAGAGACATCTTAATTGCGCGTCAAACACTTTAAAATACGTAAGTATCCATGTGCAGCTATTCTCTGTAGAAGACATTCCATATGCTATCATGTAATGCCAAAAAAACAAAACAAATGAAGGACAAAAAAAACCTTCACGTCGATTTAACGATAATAACTAGATCATTTACAATTATATACATATATTTAGCTTACGTGTTTAAACAAGTAAAAATAATTAACTTTATATATTTTAGGGTTACAAAGGATTTGAGAATTTTGGAAAATCCCAATATAATAAAATGAGTTGATATATCCGAATTTGAGTATACCCAACAAGACTATGTGCATAACAAAAATAAAGCAAACAAGTAGAACCTACAATCATACATGCATAAACATCGAGAATTATAGCCTTGTGAATTGTACCATATAGGCAAATAGGTATTATTAGGCTAAACGGTATGGAGCATTAAACCATGTGTGATGTCCGACGTGGCACGCCAAAAGACGTGTGAACACCGCTCCTAGGCTCGGTGAGTTGTTTGTGATGTGGTGGCTGGGACGGAGGAAGACGCCCAATGAAAATGAAGAAGGCTGGCAACTGTCACATATTCGACGGGTTTATATATATATATATATATATATATATATATATATATATATATATATATATATATATATATATATATATAGAGGAGTATGATCAAATGAGAACACCTAAAAGGTTGAGAACGCGAGAACGGATCTGGACCATCAAAATATTCAGATCTGAGGCTATTATCAAACGGATCATTTACGTAAATTCTAAAACCATAGGTATTAAAGTGTAACTTGTAAAAGGTCACAATGCTATAATGGTAATTGTAATTTTAACTTGTTCCTATAATTTCACAATCACATATCATATTGCCGTTCAAATTATTTGTCCCCTACTTCATTTCTTTCTCTCTCTCTCTATACCTAGGTTTTAATCAATTCCTCCCTCAGCCTCCCTTCATCGCACATCGTTTGAATCAATCCTAATCGGAGCATCGCAAGTCTCCACCTCGATGCGTTTTTGGTTTAATCTTTCCTCCATTGCACCATCACTATCCATCTATGCAGCCTACATCACAGGTTGATGAAAGACGTAGGAAGGAAGTGAAGGCAATCGGCGACGTCTGTGGTCGGCCGTCGTGATGGCGAGGGGAGCGTCTCCGTGGTCGACGAGGCTGAAGAGGAGGAAAGGAGGAGGCAACGAGGGGTGGGTTGTCGGTCTCGGTGGATCGAAGATGGGGCACCTTTGGTGATTGGATGGATCGAAGAGAAGAAGAAAAGAGAATGGAAGCAGCGGGATGTGGGGTCTGCCATTGGTTTCTGGTGACAAAGCCCCGATATTGGGTTGTTTGGTTATCGAGAAGGGCAGCAACGATTCAAAAATAGGTAAGGGTTCCTTTTTTTTGTTCTTGTTTGATTTGGGAGAACTCGATAAGCTATTTTTTTTGTTCTTGTTTGATTTGGCAGAACTCGATAGGCTCAAGTGGGTCTTTGAAGGCTCAAGTGGCAGCCCTTACAATTGATGGAAGAGATAGCCACACAAAGTTGTAATCAGATTCAAGGTAAAAGGTTGTGCACATAAGCTGTTTGATGATATGCGTGATAGGGGTATTCATTTATGAATAGCAGGGTATTCATTTGTAAATAGCAGTGTAATCATGTGTGAATGAGTGTATTTTATTTATGATTAGAGATATTGTTTTATTCATTTGTGAATACCAGGGTATTCATTTGTTAATAACAATGTATTCATTTGTAAATAGCAATGTAATCATGTGTGAATAAGTGTATTTATTTATGATTAAAGGTATTCTTTTATGAAGAAATGATAACTTTTACACCCCTTTTATTTTTAGTTGATTAAAAGAAAGGAAATGGATTACTTGTAAATTGATATGTATTCATTTGTTATTGCAGTAGTATGAGTTTTTTTGAAAAAAAAAATCGTTTATGAATACAAATGTATTGATTTGGGGTTGGATTTCTATTAATTTTTTTGAAAAAAAACGTGAAATATGAGAAAAAAAATTTAAGAAAAAAAATTAAAATTTTTTAGTTTTAATTTTTTTTTGATAAAAATGTTTTTTATATTTCATTAATAAGAAAAATAAAAAGTCAAATATCTCCTTCTTTTTTGGTAACTGATCCTAAATTTAAGGGAATTTGATAGATTTTATTTTATTTTAATTTAATTAAAATATGCAATTACTTATATGCCCTTATATATTGATTGGTCCAGAACTGTTCTCGCGTTCTCAACCTTTTAGATGTTCTCATTTGATCATTTCCCTATATATATATATATATATATATATATATATATATATTATATATTATATATATATATATATATATATATATATATATATATATCAGGGCCGGCCCTTGGCAAGTTCACAAGGTGCATATGAACAGGGCCTCAAAAAATCAAAGGGCCCAATTTATTTTTTTTATTTTTTTTAGCATTTGTATTACCTCCAGTTCGGTTAATGGCCCAAAACAAAAATTAGGTTAAAGTAACAAAAATCAGTCGACGCAAGCAAGATAGAATGAGCAGGAAAAAGCAAAGAAATTTCAAGAAAATAAAAAAACTCTTCGATTTCTTCTTTACTTACGGATGGGGCATGCATTAAATATGCAACGGTATTGTTTGTATGAGGCAATGAACAATTTTCTTCTTTCTTCTTTCATCATGAAAACATCCTATAATCTGTCTCAAAAATCAGAAAATTGTTCTTCACTTCTTTCTTCTCGAAAATCAGATCTTAGAAGCTTCAAATTCCATGTTGAGGATTCGAAATAAGAAGGAGCAGATAGGGATTATGGTATTTCCATTTTTTTTCAAGATTCCTTACTTCTTTTTCTCCTGCTTAGTGTTTTTATATCTAATTTCTGAAGGATCAATGAATTAACTTTTGAAAATAATAAGAACAAGCACTGAAGCACATAGTTTCAAAAATCAGAACAAAGAATTGAGGAAATCAATTTTAGAATTTTGGAGGTACATTAGTTTCGAAAATCCTAGTTCCTTACTTCTTTGTTTCGTTACTTTTTTTTCTGATTAGTAATACGCTTTCTTCATGATTTCTTTCGGTCTTTCTGTTGATTTTTGATACTAATCAGAACAAGCATTGAGGAAATAGATTTTTGACTCGCTCTTGTTGTTTTGAAGTGACAAAAATCAGAAAGTACTTTGCTGATTCATGATTTTTTTTATTAGAAGCATATCTGATTTGTTCTTTTTATTTTTTTCTGATTTGATTTCTATTTTTATTTATTTTGTTTTTTTTACAGTTTTCATATCTTTTTGTTGCTTAAGTTTCAACATGTAGAACCAAGAAGAAATCTACAAATTGTATACCTCCTAGATTAAAAGAAAATCTGAATATTGATATGAAAAAATGCAAGAACAAACAAAACTAAAATTTATAATTTTTTTTGCTTAGATTTTGAGATCTTTCAAATTTAGGGCCTATTTTTTGCTAAATTGCACAGGGCCTCTAAAATCTCTGGGCCGGCCCTGATATATATATATATATATATATATATATATATATATATATATATATATATATATATATATATCCATTGAAAACAAACAAACAAAAAAAATAAAATAAAAAAATTATTATTTAATTAATTAATTTTCAAATTTAAAAACACAACCTATAACTATAATGCCACCCATTTTTATTTATTTCACACTACAAAAACACACAATCTCTCTCTATTTTCTTATTTTTTGTTCAACTTATGGATCCAAATCAAAATACATCACTCACTCCAAATGATCCATATGCACATCTTACTTACATGCAATTGTTAACATCCCCAATCCAACAACAATCTCTATTTACCAATCTTTCATACCACCCAAACTACTACCAACAACGACCACAACAATTCAATCAACCCCAATTCCAAGCCTTTCAACAACAATATTCTCAACAATCTCAACCTCAACAATTTCAAACGCAATCTTCACAACCATCTCAAGTCCCATTATTTGAATCCCAACCTATAAACCTCGACAATGACGATGATGAAAGGGTCCAAGAAACACAACGACCGTCTAGAAGAAGGCAACAAAAAGGAAAAGCTCCAGAAAAAACAAAATTTAAGCAGTGGGGCGAAGACGAGGAGTAAGCTTTAGTGAAAGCTTGGATTTTCATATCACAAGACGGTGAAATCGACAACACGCAATCGGGTCAAAATTTTTGGAATCATGTTTTAGACCACTT